ACCTTTGCACATTGACCTTGAAAAACTTTGCTTCTTGAAGAGCTGTTTGACTCTAATGGGACTGAAACACAGGATTTGCTGCACAAGGGCTCGCGCCGAGTTCAGCACCTCTGAGAGCAGTAGGTCAGGCGTGCCAGGACCTGTATTTTGCTACGCTGTTGGAAGGTTGGCAGGGCAAAGCTCCTCTGCCCAGCACTGAATCCTCAGACGTAGAAATCTTCTGTGGTGGTTGGATGAGACTGTGGAGCTGGGTTGTGAGGGCCTCGTGAGGAAAAGAAATAAGTGACAAGGCTAGGCGGTGCATCCTTCTGCTGTGAAACTCCTGGGATCCCTCTCCCTTGCTCCCTTGCTACCCTCAAAGGCAGCTCTTTCTGAGCAGCACAGTCAGCAATGCTGCTGCTTGCCTCTAAGGCAACAAGAATGCCTTAAATTTTGTGCACAGCCCTGAACTACATCCCCAAAGCAAACTCAACCCAGCAGATCAAAACACATGATAGTTTTCTGCTGGACACTACAAGCTCTGAGAGGCTGTAGTATGTGTTTGTTGTGAAATGGGCCTCTCTGGTGATGATTATTTTTGTTACAGGCAGAGTTGGCTTTAGTTTCTGTGTTGAAGGTCCAACAATAACAGTGAGCCCTGCCCTCCTGGGGTGAGGGAAATCCAGAGGGGTTTAATCGGCAGGAAATTAAGTAGGAGGATGCTCTGCTCCCAGCCTAAGGTTTCAGCATGTGCTGATGAGCTGCAGAGCTGAAAAACACCAAGTGTGGGTGCAGGTTCCCGGGCCCTGCCTGTTATTTTTGGGTCCCCTGAGTGAGGATTGCTTGTTACAGCTGAGGGGAGGCAGGGGGAGACTTCATCAGCCTGGATGTCTCCAGCAAGTCAGGGCAGGGAAAGAGGGGTCTGCCCCTCACAAAGGGTAAGGAGCTCAGCTGCTGATACCCATCTCTGTGGGAAACTTTGGAGTTGCCCGCCATATACTGCAGCATTTGCAAGAGTCTGCCCTCGTGAGCTTCTCCAGGTCTTCTTTTCCCATCCCTATGACTTGGTTGTCGTCCTCTGGTGTAGTTCCCCTGTTGGGGTGGTCCTGCAAGGAGAGGGTTGCTGGGATAATGTAAGTCATGTGGTGGGCCTTAACGAGGGAGGGTGCCTGGGGATTTCCCATCCTGAACACAGCCTGCTCCAACACTGCCAGGGAATGTCAACCTCTGTAGCCTTCACTGAGGAGCCTGCTGCTCTCCTGTGGCCTCGCTGTCGGCACAGTACTCCACTGGCCTCTCCACTGTGTGGGCTGGTAGAGGCCCCAGCAGTTTGTTTTTAACGCCTGCGTTTTGCTTACTGAGCAATGGGATGTCCCACGCACCTGGCAGACTTGGCTTATACTTCAGAATTTAATTTTAATTTTATTAATTGAATTCAAGGCTGGCAAAAGCTGCCAGAGCCCATTAGCTGTAGAGCACATCTTGCTTCCAAAGCATACAGCATGGGCAGCAGCCATGCCACTCACCTTTTTTTTTTTTTCCCTTTTTTTATTTTTTAAGTTTTTGCATGGATTCAATGCATCAGTTTGAAAGGACACATTTATGTAGAAGCTTGACCCTCTACTGTGTACAAAACAGGCCTGATTTTATACAGAAAGCCAGTGGTTGGTATGTCTGCTGAGGCAAACCCTTTGCCCATCAGTGGGCACAGTGATAGATGTTTTTTGTTGTTGCTGCAGGTGTTTATCTGCTATATACCAGTGAATCAAAAGAGGAAAAAGCCTGAGAAAGCCATTATGAAGATATGAAAGTCGTTTTGCCTCTTCAGATAACTCTAAGAAGCCCCAGTTTACCTGGTATGCTACTGCCCACCACGTGGCCTGGTGCTGTATGTGGACAAGGCAGCGCTGTGCTGAAGTAGCCCCCTTCATTTCTCGGGACCTTCTTGGGGAGGAGATGAATGAGAGGACAAAATCTGTTCCTCTGACAGACACAGATAAGCTTTCCTGCAGGTGGAAGGTTTTTCCTGCTGCGGAAAGATGGTAAAATTTTCCTGGTGGTATCTGAACACCTGAGGGATATGGTTGGTGCTCTGGTCCGCTCAGTGGTTTCACCTGCTTGTCCCATTTTGCTGCAGAGAGCTGGGCCTCAAGCCCCTCTTACTCAGGCTGTCCTCACCAGCACCAGCAGTTTAACTTGGGCACCAAGCTGACCTAAAATCAGGATCAAGCCCAGGGATTTCCTTAATTCGGGCCCGCTGCCCTGCGATGGCTTTGCAGGGCAAGGGAGAAGTTTTAAGATCAGGGTAAACCTGGGTTTCTGCTCCTGAGTTCATTTGTCAGGGAAGAGCCAGAGAAAGCTGCTGCCTGACACCCCTGTTCACATTGCAGTTCACCTCCAACTGGTTAGGTTGCAACAGCTTACAGAGTATTCATACTATCCGGCGCGAGTAAGGGGCTAGCAACTTCTGAGTGGTGGGTGATGTTGGTGGTATCAGCCTAGCAGGTAGCATGTGTGTGAAAGCTGGAGAGACGGGGAGGGGATGACGAGGTGTGGAAGGATTGACTGTATTTTCATTGCTTCGAGACTTTGCCCTTTCCAAGAAAAATAATCTGCAGCTTGAATATTTCTCTTTGCTGGAGGGGGTGGACATGTGTGCAAACGAGGTGTGAATTTTTATGAGAAGGTGTGAAAGTGCGTACATGAGGGAAGTGTGAATTACACGTCTATTTGTACGTTGATGTCAACAAGTCCCTGAATTTCTTCCTTCCACGTGAATGTCTCTCTCTCTCTCTCTCCACCCAAACCCACATAGACACGTGTGTGGGCAAATAAGCCTTGCTGAGAGAAGAGATTTGTGCAAGAACGTAGGTTTGTAAATGTTTGTGTGTTGAGCAAGCTCTCCTGTGGAACAAAACCAGATGTTTTTTGGTATTCTCGGCTCTTCCGTGGCAGTGTTGCGATTTTTCCCCTTGTATTTTTCAGGATACTTAGAGGATTATTTTAAGAAAATAAAAAAGGAAGGCTGCAAAGCTGCCTTTGGGTGTGTGAGAAGAAAGTTATTTTGAAGAACGAATGTGTTAGAGGGCACGAAAAACATGGGGGAAACTGAGATAGTGCTTTTTCATGGTAAAGAAGCCTTGCTCCCCCACAAAGGGCCCTCCTGCTGCCCTTGTTCCTGCATAGGGCACGTGTATTTTCTGCAGGCAGCGTGCAGGCAGCAGGTTGTTTGTTCAAAGTGCTTTTTTCCAGGAAGCATTACCGCCAAGGGGTCTTGCCTCGCTCCTGCTGCTTGCCTTGACTCCGGCAAGAGGGCAGTTTGAAGGTGGGCTCCGATGTCCTCACTGAGAGCGGGCAGACTTGTGACAGCCTGGCAGGGGACACCCCCGGTGCCTGGTGGACCCTGTGGTCCAGACCTGCGGCATTGGGTTGATCCCACACGAGTCTGCGCTGCTTTGCTTCTCCTGGCGTAGTCCTGGGGCTTTGCAGTGAGTGCTGCTGTGGAGGGAGAGGAACAGCCCTCGGGGCCAGGGCAGTGGGGAGCACTGTGGAAACCCTTGGCCCACAGAGCTGACAGGGTGTGGGATGTGTGGCTACTCTCCTGCACTGAGGGTGATGCTCCTCCTGTGCTTCTGCTCCCTCAGGGGCATGGGATGTGCCTCAGGCCCCATCACAAGGTGTGCAAATGTGGGCCCTGCGAAAGCCCACCTGCACCCTCCTGTGGGACCGCAGCCCTCTGGGACTGTGGGGGAGGCTGTGGGGACAGCCTTGTAGTGGAGACAACCTGCGAGGGGCTGCGTCCCATGTTGTACCCCATTGCTTATCGTCAGAGAGGGGAAAGTCTTTCTGCAACATGGGACTGGGGTCACCCTGTATGCCTGCCAGCCTGCCCTGTGGAGGGGCTTAGGATTTTGCTGGGTTTTGTCCATTTTGCTGTTTTTTACCCATTTTGCTGGGTGTGAGGAGGCAGTGCTGTCGTCCAGGGGCAGCTGTGGCGGCCTGTGGGGCTGTGGCGCTGGGATGGGGCAGTGGCAGGGGAGGGGGGGCAGTGAGACCCATGTGATAAGGGCCTCGTGGAGAAGGGGACTTTGGGATTTGTAGCGTGTTATCAATTGACCCTGTGATGCAGATTTTCCTCCCAGCAAGTAATGCAATAATAAATTTGATTTGCAGCGTTCATGAAATTAAATGTTTTTTTGAAGATGAAATCACCCTCTAGGGCCTGTTCTAACCCAAAGCTGAGAGTGCTTCCTCCACTCACCACGCAGCTGTTGCCAGCCATTTGTGGGCTAGCCCCACAAAACCACTGCTGCTGATTATCTCCCTCTGCAATTCTAACGGCTGGGTTAGCTTGAAAGGTTTTGGGAGGCAGGAGGCCAGTCTGCCAAGATGGGGTCATGGCAACAGGCAGGGTTGGGGAGGGAGAGCAACAGCAAGTGGAGAAGGGCTGTCGTGGGGCTGCAGGCTGGGGCCAGGAGGGCCAGATGCTGTCCTCAGCTCTGCCGCTGGCTGCATGGGCTTGCCATCAGCCTTGCCATGCCTCAGTTTCCTTCCTTGGGAACAGCAAAGCTTTCTGCACTCCTGCAGCTGTATCAAATTTCTGGTGTCCAAATTTTGGTGTTTCCTGAGGCAGCTGTGGGAGACTGCCACAGAGCAGCTTGCAAAGGAGGCAAAAGAAGGGATAAAACAAGGCGGCTCCAGATGATCTGATATCAGTCTGTCTCTTACTTTATGACTCTGTAATTGCCTCGGCAAGAGCATTTATTTCTCTTTTCTGGTCTGTGCGAAATGTGGTATGTAAGTGTGGCAGGAGGTGGAGGGGAAAAGGAGTAGGTTTGTTGTGTAGAATAATTGTCCTTGCCCAGAGATTAATATGAGATATTAGTGTACCAAACGGATGTCAACAGCCTGGAGAATGGCCTTTATCAGAGCACCCCTATCAGTGGCTCCAAGGGACCGGCTGTGCACAGCCGATGCCCAGAACCTGTTTCATTGCCTTGTTCCCTTCTGTGTCTCTGCAGCTCAGCCATGCGGGGGACGTCTGAACTCCAAGGAAGCCGGGTACATCACCTCCCCAGGGTACCCCAATGACTACCCCTCCCACCAGAACTGCGAGTGGGTCATCTATGCCCCTGAACCCAACCAGAAGATTATCCTCAACTTCAACCCTCACTTTGAAATTGAAAAGCACGACTGCAAGTAAGAGCCTTCCTTTTCCTCTCTAGTACATAGTCATCTCTTCCTGCTTTTGCCTAGTGGTATGGGTCTCATGCTTCCTTGCATGTGAAAACAATAATCGTCCTGAGCCCCCATAGCACTGCATCTCATTACCTTTCAGGGGCAAGTGTGCCTCTGCCAACTTGGTGGTTATAAGATGCTTCTTTGGACACATAGGATGAGCCTACTCTGCGTTGAACTGGTTGATCTTGACTGAGCCTGGTATCACCTGAAAGCAAGAGCTAACTGGCTTTCAACCCGAGTTTGACTTTGGTTGAAAGGCAGCTTGTTTTTCTCAGTGTCAAAGTGACCTCGCTGTCCTTTTAAACTGTGCTGGGAGAGCAGAGCAATTTCCTGGTGTCTAGTTAGACAGAGGTATGGCATAGAGAGCCCTAGGGCTGGAGACCCAGGCTCAGGCCATGTGAGGCTGGAGGCTTGGGGGTCTGAGGTGTTTGTGCTGGATCTGACTTTCCACAGTGCTTATTCTACTGTGTTTGGTAAACTGGGGGTTTGGTTTTGTTTGCTTTTTTTTTCTTTTCTCCTAAGAAGGGACTCGGAAACTAGATGTCCAGGAAAAACAATTAACAGCTAGTAAAGAATAATTAATAGCATCAAAGGCCACTATAAAAGGCTGAGTTAATAACATAGTCTCAGCAGACGTATAAACCTGTGTATTTAATCTGGAATCCACAGCCAGCTCTAGGGATGCCTGAGCTGTGAAGGAGCTTGAGGTCTCCTAAAACAGGCCTGACACAGCAGTCTTGCCAGACATGTTGGTCCTGTTAATTAAAAGGGGGTTAAATATAGTGAGGGGAACTCTGTTTGCAAAAAGGACAGAGGGACAGGGGAAGTATTTATGGGACTGTAGAATCAGTCCTGTGGAGAACAAAGAATTCAGCATGGGTTTGATGATGTACTGAAGGTTAGGAAGTGTAGAGCTGGATCCTCAGCTACCGTAAATCAGCATAGCTCCTATAACTCTAATGAAGGTGTGCTGACTGATGTCATTGGGGCTCTCGTCACCCCCTACAGATAAAGCCTGGACTAATAAAGCTTTGAGAACCATGAACTCTCCCTGAAGTCACTGTGTGTGCAAGGTGTTTAGCACTTTGCAGGATCAGGCCTGCGTTATAGAGAGGGGAGAAGGTAGAGAAAGGCGTAATGTGAGCATAGATGAACACAACAAGGCCTTGGCGGTGTGCATGAGAATGATGGCTGCTATCAGATTTTATTATTGCTTGCGCAGGCTCAACTGTATAGCCTTCTCATAGCTAATGTAGTTGCCCCAGCTTCACAGTAATAAAAGCTTTATAGACCTATATTCGCAGTCTGCAGAGTATGTGATATATATTGGGCAGGGCAATGTTGTGTGCAGGGCAGGGGTTGAGCTGGGCAGGAGGGATGCCAGCTTCTGCCTCTCCAAGGTCTCAGGCAAGCAAAGCCAGGTTGTTCAGAGAGCCAGAAATCCCCACGGGCACCTGGCTTTTCCTCCACTTGTAGAAAGCTGTCAATTTTAGCTCTGAGCACCTTGGACAACTTTTGCTGCCTGTCAGAGAACAGGGTCTGGTCCGGAGCTGCAGGTGGTGTGTGCTGGAGGGGCTGCCTGAGCGCTGGAGATGTCCCTTTGCTGCTTTCTACTTTACCATGGCAAATCTTCTGAGTGGCTGCTCTGTGGTCTCGCCCTCTCCCTTTCTGCATGTACATGCACGAGGGAGCCTTTAGTTAAAGCAGAAAGGTTTGAGTTGGAGGATTTGGTCCTCCATGTGGGACATGAATGGTGGAGGGTTTGTCAGGGTCTCTGTCTCAGTTGAGCTCCTGCGGCAACATTGCTCTCTAGAAAACAGGTAGTAACATCAAACCTTTCCTGCAAGTGAAGTCTGTCTGGACCTCTATCCCCCCAGCTACCACCTGTGTGCAAGTGAAACAGCCTTCATCCACAGTGCAGTTGGGCTTCTGCTGGCCACAAGTGTGAGCTGGGAGCCAAGCTGGCTTTGGGTGCCTGCTCCCCAGAGCCAGCACTGCAAAGTAGTGGGTTTGAAAGAACTTCATGGACAGTGCTTGACAGGAAGCATATCAAAACAAATGAAAACAGTGCACGATAAACACTGCCTGAAAGAAATTGATAGGAGGCAGATTTTTTTATTTTTTTAAGTGACCTACCAGAAGGAGGCAAGTATTAACACTGTGTAATGCTTGGGCATTAAGCAGTACTAATAAGTGACCATCTAGTAATAAATCTCATCTGAGTGTCAGAGGGTAATTTATGAAGAAACAAAGGCCTCATTGCAGCTGCAGGTGGGAATTTTAACAGGAACAGGAGTTCAGCATCAAAGAAACAGTCTCAGGGCAGAGCCCTTCTTTTGACATCTGATCATTAATATAGAGCACATTCACTCAAAGGTGACAGGCTGATGAAGCCCATGGCAGCACTCTGTCTCTGGGCAGACAAGGTTCCCCCTGCTCTAGTATTGTTACCTGGCAGCTATCGGAGTGGGAGTGGGCAGCTTCCAGCTGCCAGAGGTAAACACTGTAACCCCTTCATCTGTTGCTTCTTCCTTCGAGGTTTCGTTTTACCTTATTAGGCTAAAGTTTCTCCCTCATAAAGCATAACATTTACATTCCTAAAACTCATTCTAAAGGCTACAAAAATATCTGCAAAAGTCTTTTTGCTTTTACCGTGCCCTTTCTGGCCTTCCTTGTATCTGCTTTAGATTTCCCTTTGGGACAGGACACGTTTCCTCCTGTGTTTTGCACAGTGCCTGGCACCCTGGGGACCTCTGCGGAAAGGTCAGTGATTTCCCCTCGCCGGGCAGCTGGCCGGAAAGGGCCTGTGTACCTGGTGCTACCCGGACGGCAGAGCGAGAGCTGGCTGCAGAGAGCAGCTTCGGCAGCCGGCCCTCCCTGCCTGGAGTGGGGTAGCAGGAGCCAGGGATGGACGCCCTGAGGTGGCAGCCAGGGGCGGCTGCTTGGTGCTGGTTGCTATTGTTTTTCTGGAGGCACATCTGGGCTTTTATTTTTCGGCTGTGTCCAGCTGTATTAAGTAGTAACTGCACTGCCACCACCACCATCATGAAGGGAGTAATTTGGTGTAATTGAAACCCCAGAACATATTTCTCTCTCTGTGTGCTTCATATGTGTTCTGAGGAAGCACCTTACTTTGGGAAGGCACTTTAGCTTAAGAAAATTAGCCTCCTCTTGCTGTTGTGGCTCTTGTGTACCCGCACAGGAGGGATCCCTGTTGCAGGAGGGTGGGCACGCTTTGACAGGGAGTATGGGACCTGGGCCGTTGTTCATGCTGTCCCACAGCCGTGGGGCCACAACAGTAATGGCAAAGCCAAAAGGGAAGTTTGATGCTCTGATAAAAGACCTTCCAAACTATTCAGAAATAATTGTAATAGCCTGTCTGCTCGCCATTTCTTCCTCTCTGTTCTGCGAGTGCAGCTGTTGCTCAGGCACTGCGGCCCTGCGCCGTCAGGATCTGCTCTCTGAACAGGGAAGTGGCATCCAGTGGAAAAGAGCATGCTGCTGCTGCTGTGGCAAGATGTTTCCACTCCCCACATGGCATGGCAGTACCTGGGCAGCTTTGTACATGCCAGGTTTTATTTGTGATCCCAGGAGCGACCTGAACTGTTTGCAATAGGTGTGCGACAGGGATGGCTGTCCCCCAGCTTGTGCAGTCACGTAGCCGAGCTGCCCACTCCTTCCTAATTGCCGTTTCGCTGTTCTGTCTGCACTGCTTGCTTGGAAAATCCGAGTCAGAAACCTCAGCTCTGAGTGAATCACTGCGTTTATAACCAACCACCTCCTTTTCCATTCATTCCTCCCTCCCACTGGTGGGCTTCTCTTTTGACCGTTAAAAGCTCCCTCCCAAGACTGGCCACTGACTGCCATCCCGGGCTGCACTCGGCTGACTCTGCCAGAGGATTAGGCTGGGCAGAGCTGCCGTTGAGTGCTGGGACATTGCAGTACACACACGGCAGAGGCACGCTCTGCCACGGCTGCAGCAGATGGGCTCATGCTCCCTCTGCAAGCAGAAGACCTTTCAACTGAGTCATAACATCTGCACCAGAGGAACGTTACTTTTTAAAAAAAGCCCGACTGATAATCAGACCATACCAGTGGGTTTTTCTGTAGCCCTTTGCAACACTGCGATGGCTGGGATCCCTGGCTGGGGAGGATTTGGGGGACCGCTGCCGTGGCTCGCAGCCCCCTCTGGTGGCACATGCCAAATGCTGGCAAAGGCTTCTGGAGACAGGGGCCTGGGGCTCCAAAAACAGGCAGGAGCTGGCAAATTAGAGACAGCCCAGAGCTGCCCAGTCAGGCTCTTCCTCCTGACTTTGGCTCCCCATGTCAAGCCCTGAGGGTCTCCAGAAACAGGCACTGGGGCCACTGTAATGAGGAAATTTAATGCAGTTGTCACTGTGACCTCGTAAGAGCCACGGTGGTGCCAGGAGAGTTGAACCAGGTTCAGATCCTGGTGTGTGCTGGATACCAGGCAGGCATGGCAGGAGATGCCCCTGCTCCCAGCCTGAAGGGCAGAGGGGACCACAGTTTGGCATGGGAACCACGCTCTCAGTGCCCGTCATGTGGAGCACTGCCTGCCAGGGGTCACTGGCAGTAACGTGATGGTGTTCCCAGGCCACAGTACAAAGGGTGAGGCATGCGGGCTCAGCTAACCAGTGAAGGCCTCTTACGGCAGCATGGCCATCTCCTGTGCTTCCAGGAAGCTGGGCACTAGAACAAAACAGCTCTGCATCCTTCCTAGAGAGCAGCAGAGACGCTGGCCCAAGTCCCTTGCGCGGGCAGAGGGAGCTGCAGCCAGCCCCAGTGCCCAGTGACTGGCAGGCAGCTGGTGGCTGCAGTATTCAGCCTGGCCCTCTTGACCATCTCCTTCAACCAAGAGCATAATATTGCAAGAAGCTGTCCTTCCATCAGCAAAGGTTAAGAGTACACGAGGCAGCAATTATGGACAGTTAATTAGT